CAAACTCTTTAACTGCTTTGGCGATCACAACTAATGGAAACAGATATATAGTATAAACCAGGGACATGACTACCGAAAATAATATAGTAACATCATCGGAAACTATATAATTGAAAAATAATGAATAAAGATTTATTATTCAAAAAATTATGAAATTCTACTACCTAAAATATAGACAATTTCACTTACCCCTATCATAAATTATACGCGGGAGAGAATTTATTGGCAATAATCGTGGATTATATAAAATTGAATTACGAGGCTGTGAAATAAAATAGGAATCAATAAGGTACCTTTTTTAATATTACAAAAATTAGTATATATGTGTATGTCATTACCTGTTCTGTCTCCTTTGATTCTCTATGATAATAAAAATTTAAAATAAAAAGTTAATTAGATAAATTATGAAAATAACTATTCTAAAAATTAAGTATTTTCTTATACTTACGATCCGGTTTTAACTAGTTGACCTCTGAGACCTGCAATTTCAGCTTCCTGTGAAGCAATTTTCGTAGATAAATCTTGCACTAATTCTTCAACTTTTTCAAGATGTTCTAATTGTTGTTTCTGAGCATTAGCCACAAATTCAAGTGAATGCAACCTTTGAATAGTTTCTGATTGTTCCAAAATTTTCGCTTCAAGATCCGCATTAAGATTTACAAGATTTTTATTGGATGATTTCAGGTCAATAAACTAAATAAAGAAAGAGAGAAAAAAGATCAATTAAACAATTTGTTTTGCGATAGCCTGATAATAAAAAGGAAATAAATGACGCAATACTTTTTCTCGAACTTTGGGATTTGAGGAAAGTGCCAAAATTTCTTCATCGCTATTCGCTTTCCCGACTTGCTTTTCTCCTTTTTCTGTATCCTCACTTCCTTCCTCATCTTCTTCATCCATGTCATCATTATCGTTTTCGTCTTCATCGTAGACATTTTCCGGATTTATCTGAGCAGATGCGGTTACTTTTCTTTGAGATCGTCGATCACCATAATTATTAGAAGCAAGATCATTCATGTCAATCATAGCATCCATTGAAACTTTAGGTTTGCGTTTGATCTCATTATAGTGATGATCATTATTAGATTCTTGTAATTCATAAGGCATTGGCACACGAGCACTAGCTTTAACAGTTGGACGTCTACCAGCTAATCCTGGATCACTTCGATATGACACTTCAGTTTTAATCTCTGGTCCACGGTAAATAACGTCCGACCAAGCTCGGGGGCTACTGCCAGACAAAGGTGATTCAGAATAAAGTGATTTTTTTTGATTTATATTCGAAGGCGACAAAAAAGATTTTTGTTGTGTTGGATAATTCGAGGTAGAACAATTATTATTATTATTATTATTATTATTATTATTATTATTATTATTATACCGATTTACTGATTGATAATGAGAGTGTGAATAATTATTATTAAATTCGACAGCTGATTTTGTAGCTCGCGGTTTAATTATATTTTGATTTACATCTCTATGGTAAAATACTTCTGAACGTATTTCAGTTGGTTTACTACTACTACTACTATTATTATTATTAGTTGCCCATGGACGTCGAGCAGATGATGTATTTTCTTCTAATATATTAGACCGTGCATTTGGTCTTTTATAATTGAACTGTCCAGATTCGCTACCCCATGAAATATCAGCATTTTCGTCAAATGATACTCGTCTTGCATCAACATGTGGAGAATAATGAGCATTATTAATGTTGCAGATATTACTACTATTTTTGTAATTTAATGGTTCTTCCAAAATAGTTGATGCACCAACTTTAAGACGTCGGACAGAATTATTTGATCCAGAATCACTATTACGTGACAACTCTGTACGTACTTCCTCGGCAGGCTGCTGTCGATTATAACTCTGTCGAGAGTCACTATAATCCGACAGTATCATATTTGAATTGACTTTAGCCTTGGCCTTGATTGGCTTCTGATCCTGAATATTATTTTCTTCTTCATCGTCATCGACATCGTCATCATCGACATCATCATCATCATCATCATCATCATCATCATCATCATCATCATCATCATCATCATCATCATCATCATCAATGTCATCATCATTTGATTCACGTTTAGCGGCAGCATCATGACGCTCAACTCTTGTAGTTGAAGAATCTGAAGATTCTGTTCCTTCAGATTCTTCTGCACTATCAGAAGTTCCACTACTTTCTTGATCATCATCTTCCCTTCCGTCGGTGTTATTAGAGCTATTAAAAGCTTTCATGCCGCGAAAACTACCAGCTAATGTTGCAAAGGAACGCGAAGAATTATCATGTTGCTTGCCTAACTCAGCAAGAATGGAACCATTTACTTTAGGCCTGGAGGGATTAGAGGCTCCGGTGCCTTCTTTGTTTCCGGAATTCTTAGATTTACCAAGTAGCTTTTCAAGATCCATGGTGCAAAATATCGATTAAACTAATTAGTTTATGCGAGTTTTTGTTATTAGTTTGGTTGGTTTGAAAGTTATTATTGAGTAGACAAGTTGCGGAATGGAGATTAGATGAAAGCAAGAGAAAGAAAAGTGTGGTATGGTGGTGGTGGGTTGAAGATTTACAATATTTAATAACGATAACCTCCAAAACACAATTGGTAATTATCTTGGAAAGTACAACTTTATATTTGTGTATCGTTATTGGTGACACAGGAAAGTAAGACGAATTTGACACTAACTACGTATAATGAAGCTTTTTCGCGCTTTTTTTGTGTCAATTGCGTGTCGGGACTTAAAGTGATTTATAAAGACTGTCCTAATATTAAAATATAGATTCTTAATTTCCATTTCTTTTCTTCCAACACTCTTTGAATTTTAGTAATTCTAGTTGACATTCCCTCCAATCATGCTTATCAGCATAACATAATTGCAAATTTTCATTTTCTCTAAAGCAACCGGTCTTTCGAATTCGCGTTTCGTAATCATCGTCGTTATTATTTTGGTCTTGATGATTATTGCTATTGGCATTGTCCCTAGATATTTTCTTTATATGACTAAAATGGGTTTGCTGCGTTATCGGCGTGTCATTTTGCTCGGCGCTTTTTTGTTCCCTTGAAGACATTTGTGTGAGAAATAGAATTTACTGTCAAATTCATGTGCATTATTACTTTTTTTAATGATTGATCATGCGAAATGCGACTTATTTTATATCACAATAGTAGAAACGCGTGATTTTATAAAATTTTTTACTTCGCTAGTTCATTCAACGATATAATATCTGTGCGCGCGCATTTTTTTATTTACCAGGCATGTCGCATCACTTGCCTATACTAGCAAATAGGGCACTACTTGGAAGTACGCGTCTTTTGAGTGTTCTTGGCTATAGAAATAGTATCCGTGGTACTTCTCGACGTTTTTACTCGATAGAAAACACTGGTATAACTCAACTATGGCCTTATCAAGCCAGTACAAAAAGCATGGAATTTTTTAGTGGTGGCTTTACCTCAAAGCATTACACACCAAGACCAGGAGAAGTTTTGGAATTCCTTCATAAGCATTATCAATTTCCTAGGAAAACAGGAGATACATTCCTGTTTAGAATCCGTTGTCCAAGTTGCCGCCCACAAAAAAGAGGAACACTTTACACTGCTGTTATAAATGTTCAAAAAGGAATATTTCAATGCGACTCATGTTCAGGAAAAGGAAGTTGGATCGATTATGTAAAATTAGTATCGAAATCCGATTCGTTTCAAGTGTTGAGTACGATGGATCTTAGTGCAGGGAATAAAACAACATTCTCCGTATCAAGAGCCAAGATCGAAAACTATCCTCGACAATTATTAGAATATCCTATTATTATGAATTGGTGTAAAACAGAGAAAGGCTTAACCTTTGATACTTTACAAGATTATTGGATTGGTTCTGCTAAATATAACAATACAAATCCTTCAAATAATGCGGAATTCTCAACAAATAAAGATCAGGTTTGCATAACCTTTCCAAGGACGGCACCTTTCTTTTTGGATCCACAGGCAACAGACGAACCAACTGTAAGAGTTGTCAGAGTAAAAGCATGCGAAATAGAAAGTGGTGAATTAGTCGCTTTCGATCCACCAACATCAGAAGCAGGACTCTTTGGCTATCATTTAGTGCAATCTGATACAGAAGCCATTATTTTAGCTGGAAATGAATTTGATGCGATGGCTGCCTATCAAGAAACCAAAATACCCGCTACCTGTCTTCCAAATAATACTTATCAACTACCCTTGGAAATTCTTCCTTTGTTAGAAAGATTTGCAAAGATTTATATTTGGTTAGACGATGACGTAGCTGGTCAAGATGCAGCTGAAAAGTTTGCCCAGAAACTTGGAATAAATCGATGTTCAATTGTGAGAACTCTTGGTGGTGATCTTGATGGTCCAGTTAATGCAAGTGAAGCTTTAGCTGCTGGAAAGGATTTAAAAGAAATTTTAAGAAAAGCGAGACCATTAGAACATGAACAAATAATCGGTTTCGATCATCTTAAAGATGCAGTATATCGAGAGCTCGTTAATCCAAATCAAGTTCGTGGAGTACAATCCACTGATTTACCTGGACTAAATCAAATATTAAAAGGGCATAGGTCCGGTGAATTGACCGTCTTCACTGGTCCAACCGGGATAGGCAAAACTACTATATTAAGTCAAATTTCCTTGGATTTTTGTCGATCAGGAGTCAGTACATTATGGGGTAGTTTTGAGATACCCAATGTGAGACTTGCGAAAAAAATGCTTCAACAATTTGCTGGTCACGAGTTAACAGCAGAAGAATTTTTTCAGACAACAGAAAGATTTCAACAGGTAGTTTATTATAATTATTCATATTCACTATTATATGATAATATGATAATATGATTTTCTTAAAGATTTATTTCTTCTGAATATTAGCTTCCAATGTATTTCTTAAAGTTTTTCGGAAGCACCGATTTAACAACTGTGGTGGATGCAATGAATCATGCAATTTATGCTTTTGATGTTCAACATGTTATCATAGACAATTTACAATTTATGACTGCAGATCAAGGTAGATTTCATGATCGATGGGAATTACAGGATCGTACTGTTGGAACATTTCGTAAATTTGCTACTGAACGAGGTGTCCACATAACTTTGGTGGTACATCCAAAAAAAGACGATAGAGAATTTCTGGACTTGAATTCAGTTTTTGGATCCGCGAAAATTACACAAGAAGCAGATAATGTGATAATTGTTCAACGATTAGTAGTTGATGACGATGAAATAAGATATTTGGATATTAAGAAAAACAGGTATTATTGATTTTTTTAAATATTTTTGAAAATAATTATTTGCTAAATAAATAATAAATATTAGATATGATGGAACACTTGCTGCTATACCATTTGAATTTGACAATGAATCGTGTAAAATTCGACAACTTACACGAAATGAACACGATCGTCGTGCAAAGGGTTCAAAGAATAAAGCTCGACAAGAAACTGAAAAGTTACCAATTACTAATCGTAATGCAAACGAAACTATAAGTATGGCTCGATCAATGAACGGCAATATGCAAACTAACGAAAGTAACAACTTGATTGGTGGTGGCAATGATAATCAGAATCTGGAATCATATAATACTAATAATAATTATAATAATTATAATAATTATAAAAATAATAATAATACTAATAATAATTATAATAATTATAATAATAATGCAGCCATGGATGAAATTGATGAAAATAAAGGTGACAATTTTACTGGATCTGAGATGTATGCAAATGTGCAACAATTAATGGTAGATGATGGTGGTGCTGGTGCTGCTATGTTTTCAGAAACAAGAGCAAATATAACATCTTCAATACCCCCTGAAACCCCACAAATAACACATTATCAAGAGGTATGATCAAGTTAATGAACAGAACTCTAATAATGAACATTACTGATTCTTTGAATTTAGTATCTATTGAAACTAATCTTAGTAATAATTAATAAATGTATATTTAAAAAAGCATCCATAAAATTTCTATGATTCGTTCTTCCTTTTTTCTCTAAATATATTTGCAATATTACCTAAATTATCCCACGATTTCTATCAAAATAATTAAATTTTTTTCCACTTGATATGATAATGTTATGCAGTAATCTCAGTAGCACCTCTGGATGTTCTTCGTCGTTTGACATCCCAATTATATAAACGTGCGGTATCTTTTGAAAAGTCATCAAGTTAAGGATAACAAGAGAGAAACAGCACAATAAACTCTCGGTTTTGAAATAATAATTAGTGTGAACCCGCACGGAGAAAGAATTTTAACAAAGAAAAATAATGTTCGAGCAAATAAAAATATAAGCCATTGAAAAAAGATACTGACTTCCATTGTGGTTACTTGATCCCGTAAAAACTCCGAATCTTCTAATAAATTATCTAGATTCATTTGTGCGGATTTAAGTTTACCTTCAAGAAGCTCTTTTGCCTCTTGTAATGGATATTCAAGCATTACATTCGCCTATCATGTAATAAATATAAAAAAGAATCGGTGAAAAATTCATAAGTCAAAAATCAATAGCTATTTATTTTGCTTGTTGCTTACTCCAAGCCATAAATAAACCGTCTCAGTAGTTTTGACTTTTGCGGCTGCCCATAAAGTATCATTCAATTCAAAAGTTGTGTCAATAGGTTCATCGGAATCCTTTTTATTTTTGAGATGCCATTAACGAACTGCATAAATTTAAAACAGTGCTATTACAGAAGGGCATGACAAATTCATAATCACCTGTTTATTTATCAAATATTCAACTACAGTCAATGTCTTTTTAATTTCTGGTATTTTCATTTCGAGAACTTTTTTTCGATTCATGAAATTGATTTCCATAAATTTATATTTACTATAAAAATGCGGAAATTGATAAATTGATTAGTTTATTTTAATTAACGTTAAAAATTATTAGAGCTTGAAAGAAAGATCTCAATGCTTAACATAGTAGCTTAAAAAAATTCGCTCAATTGTTCAGAGAACAATTTACTTGATGAAAGATAAAATGACTTCACTCATATTACACGTGAAATTCATTAAACTTATTGTCCACTTGAAAATGAGAAGCAACTCGCGAAGAATTCTACATTACTCACGCTATAGTTTCTTGGAATTTTCCAAGTGTGATCTCTACAGGTACATCGGATTTCGCGACAAATTCGTCCACATTCTCCTGTTAAGTTACTTCAACGTGACTAAAATACCTAGCAAGAAATGAGGAAATGGAGAGTAAAATAAATATACCACGAATTGAACTTTTGGGATGCCTCTTGGGTTGGTTTCCATAATTTTTTTTGACTACCTCAAGAAAATTTTCGGATTATATTATACTAAATGATGACGTATAGTGAGTGTCTAACGCTAAGAATATACTTGGCAAGCTGTATTACGTTGCGCAACATAAATATATATCCATTGATTTGTTTGGAGATGAATTTTCAGCATTTGAAATACCTTGAGCAGACTCTTCGTTCGATGTTACAGAATCGGAAATGGATCAAAGACAACAGCAATTTCTTCTTCAGCAACAATTACGCGGGCAAAATTCTATCTCGCAACCGCAAATGATTCAACAATATGGTATCTCTACAATACCTACTATCGGTCAACTGTCTAATGTTCAAAACATCCCTCCTCTCGGTGGGTCCATTATGCCTGCTGGAGTTATTGCTTTAAGTCAAAGAATGATGCCGCAGCAAAATCCCCAACAGCAATATAACACCTCGGGACTACAGGGAAATGCTAAAATTCCTTGGGCCGTTACTCCCGAAGAAAAAGTGCAATATAGGGATATTTTTAAGGCTTGGGATACTGAAGGAAATGGATATATATCTGGTAGGTAACTACCCTATAATATTTGATTAAATTTTATTGACATGACTTTTTTCAATATATACTTTTCAATAATATTAAAGTTTAAACTTTTAGGTGATAAAGGACGAGAAGTTTTTTCTCAATCTGGTCTACCTTCTAATGTTTTGAGTCAAATTTGGTAAGCAGAATTTAATCGTCGATGACTTTATTCAATTGTATTTCTTTATTTCTATAATTTCATATTAATCTAACACTGACTTTATCATTAGGAACCTTGCTGATCCAAACAATCAGGGAAGACTTAACCAAGATGAGTTTGCAGTGGCCATGCACTTAATATATCGAAAGCTAAATGGATATGATGTTCCAACGACTCTTCCACCTGAACTGATTCCTCCTTCTTCACGAGACTTTGCTGAAAGTGTTGATTTAGTAAAGAATATTCTCGCGACAGACCTCCACAATCAAAGAACTGGTTTAGCACCATCTAGCTCTCCTTACGTAAAGTCAAGAAGCTTCACAAACAATCAGGTCATAGATATACCTACAGATGCTGTAAGCTATAAACACGAGGATAATGATGTTGGATATGTTTCATCGGCAAGAAGGCAAATTCCGTCAGTTAATCGGGAATACTCGAACTCTCCTTATTCCTCATCTATATTATCATCGAGATCTGATCGCGAAAAATCATCTACAAATTTAGCGGACCTTCGAAAGCAAATTCACGAGAAAGAGATTTTATTAGAAGCTTTGTCATACAGTACTGACACAGCACCAATAGCATCCTATAATTCGACTGATGTTGAGGAAATAAAAAGACATATAAAAAATTTACAATCTCAATTAGTGTCTCTAAAGTCAAATATTAATCAGGACTGGCAGTTTAAAGAAATTAGCAGAAATTCTGATGAATTGAACTCTTTATTAGATAGAAATCATAATTTAGAAGATGAACTTAATAATCTTTTGTATACTACCATTCCGGATATTATACGTAAAGTGCGAGATACAGACAACAAAGTAGCAGAAGCCAAAATAGAATTATTTAAATTGCGTGAATCACGTAGTAGCGATGATAATAATATAGTTGGAACAGGTCCTGGTGGCTCTATTACACAAGCTGATCGAATTCAGGCAAAAGCCGCAGAAATGTTACAAGCACGTCTGGCAGCTATTACTGGGAAACCTATATCTAGTATTAGTGATAGCGCATCTAATCCGGGTGCTGCACGAAGATTGGAAGAAGAAACAATAAAAGTGAATGCTGATAAAGCAAACAGAGAACATCGTATTTCAGACATTGAACAAACAATATCTAGATTACAGGATACCATAATTCGTATCTCTAGAGAACGGGATGACGTGGAATCTAAACTTCAATTGGACGGTTTCCGTTTATCTAAAGAAGATAGAAATAAATGGGAGGATGGTATTGGTGTCAATGATGAGGTTAGGAGATTTATTGAAGAACTTAATCGTGAAGATTTAAAAATCAAAACGAAAGCTTCTCATAATGAAACTGATTATGAATCACGTTATTCATATGGTGGCGGTGGAAGTTCTTCTGTCATATCCACACATTCTACTCCGACTTCAACTACTTCTAGCTACTCTTCATTTAGTAGCTCGGTGCCAAGTTCTTCATTGAAAGGAAAAACCTCCGAAGAACGCGCTACATTTATTAAAGCAGAAGCAGAACGTAGAATGCAAGAAAAATTAAAAGCATTCGGTATAGCGTCACCAGCTCTAGATTCCAAACCAACTCCACCTCCAGTTTCTGAATCCCCATCGATCACGGATCGTTTGCTTCGTGAAAGAGCAGAAGCCAACGAACGAATAGCGCGCGCAGAACGAGAGGCCGAAGAGCGAGAGCGCATTCGATCAGAACGACTTTTAGCTGAGAAACAGAAGAAAGCCGAAGAAGAGAATGAAAGGGCTCGTAGACTAGAAGAATACAAAAGAAAAGATGACGAGCGACGTAAACAATGGTTATTGGAAGCTGAAGAGCTTAAAGAATCTAAAGATAAAAAAACTCGAGAAAAAGAAGAAGCAGCGCGTTTGCGTGAATTAGAAAATGAACGTAAACGATTAGAAGAAGCCGAAAAAGAAAAACGAGAAAGAGAAGAACATCTTGCTCGTATAAAAAGAGAAGCTGAAGAACGCGCAGCAGAAGAAGAACGTTTACGTAAAGAACAAGAGGCCATATTAGAAGGCGCTCGTGCAGCAAGAGAAAGAGCAAAAAAATTAGAAGAGGAAGCAAAAGAACGTGAGGATTTGCTAAAACTTGAAACAGAACGCCTATCAAAGGCAAAAAAAGAAGAATTCATTTCGCAGGTAAAATCATCGACAAATGCATCTACTGAAAGTAGTATCGATGATAATAATAGTAGCAATGATAGTAATAAAAGAGAAAGTATTAATACCAATCCATTTTGGAAAGTCATCACGAAGCCTATTGAAAGCACAAATCCTTTCTATCGGTTTACAAATGCATCAATTTCTACATCAAATTCTCAAACAAAAGAACCAGAAAGTGATGATTGGGACGTAGTAAACAAAGACGAAAGTGATGATGATGATTTTGGTAGGCCAGACCCTAAACTGCTTGCATCGAAACTTTTTGGGATAGGAGGATCTAGTGGAAGTTCACATTCATCGACTTCTGAGACTGTTTCTTCTTCAAAAATTACGCCCTTTTCAAATATTTCTCCATCAGCTCCTGAAGCTTTTCCTTCATCAAGTATACCTCCTCCCCCTCCTCCACCACCTGCACCTTTCACCGAGTCTACTTCTACTTCAACTGCGCCTACGGCGATTTCAATAGCTTCGCCTCCAATAGCACCACCTCCACCCCCACCTTCATTTGCACCAACTGCGCCAACAGTCACTCCAAACGCAGCTGCTGCCTCCTCTTCACCTGCTGCCTCTAATCTTCCATCTGGACGTGCCGCTTTGCTAAATCAAATACAACTAGGAAAAAAATTGAAGCCGACTAAATCAAATGATCGATCTTCTCCATCCGTGACTGGTAATATTTAATTTAATTATTAATAATTTATTAATTAATAATTAACTTTATATTTTCGTTAATAAAGGGCGCGTAGAACCTTCAAGCTCATCACGTGATGTACAATCTTCAAGTTCCGGGTTATCTGGTCCTCCTGGACTTGGTAGTCTGTTCTCAGGTGGTATACCACCACTTAAAAGTCGCGTTGAGACAGGACGTGCAAATAATGCTTCTATCAATTCGTCTGTTTCCAGACCAATATCACTTGAAAAATCCGATCGTAGGTTTTCAACGGATTGGTATGATAGTTTGGCAACTGATCAATTGGCAGTCGAGGAACCTTCATCCAAATTTAAACCAAATATCAATATTCAAACAACACTTTTTGAAGAAAAGGACGAAACAAAATCTTCTGGCGTGACTGTACAATCACCAGTAGTGATGGTACCTTCAATCGAACAAGACGTCGACTTTAATCAGAAATTCCATGTCTCAACTTTATATTCATATGAAGGAACAGGTACTGATGATCTTATATTCCAAGCTGGAATCACCTTTTTTGCACATCCATCTAAGGACCCAAAAAATGCAAATTGGTGGTATGGATCAATAGAATCAAGTGGCAAAAAAGGATGGTTCCCGAAAAATTATGTGCAGATAGTTAAAGAAGGTAACTATAAACAACTTGATTATTTTTAAACTTGTTTATTATTTAGATCTGTTGCTTATGATTTATTATTATTTTTTAAAATAAATTCAACTATTTAAAGAAGGTAATATATCAATAATCTCAAGAAATGCCCGCATTATTTTACTTATTTATTGTTGTCTTAAACGTATGCATTATTATTTTTAGAACAAGAAATATGTAAAGCCAAAGTATTATGGGATTATAAAGGTTTGAATGAGGGTGAACTTGATATCAAAAAAGGAAACATTGTTTCTATACTCGACAAATCTTCGGATGATTGGTGGAAAGCAGAGTATGAAGGAACTAAGGGAAATATTCCTGCCAATTATGTCGAAGAGATTTCTAGTAGTAGCGGTTAGTGTTTGACTTTAATATAATAAATATATATACATATATATATAGCATTAGCATCAGCAGCAGAAGCAGATATTTGAATATTATGTTATAAAAAATTTTTCATAGAATATTTATATAAAAAGAACACTTTTCATTCATTAGAAATTTATAAATTTTGTCATTATTTGGTTAAAGTAATAAAAAAATTTCTTCCTTTTCTTCAATCATGTTCGTTTTCCTCTATATCTATGTCTATATCTTCGGCTGCTGATTCTTTCATCCCACCAATTCAATCATACAAATCAACTCAGATGAAGATACTGTCACATCCTCTTCGGAAGAAAATAGTGCCAGCGATAATTCAGACAATGAGGAAGACCCATTTAATAATAATAATAAAGAATCTGCTGATGATAATGAAAATAAAAATATTGTTAACCCAATTGCAATTCCTAAACTCAACATCGGATCTGTACAATCTCCTAATGATAAACCGTTGCCACCAACAGTAGCAACTCTTAATGAATCTCTTTCAAAAGTTAGAACTAGGAGCCCAAGTCCCACACGGTTGTTTGGTACTAGTCCGATTACCCCTATTTCATGGATAGAGCCCGGTTTATCTATAAATGCATTATCTGATGCTGGACTTTTGCCACATGGCCTTGGATTAAGGCCTGATTCGCCTGCAGCTGCGGGACAAGTATGTGAAAATCTTTTAGGAATTCTTTAGTGTACTAACGATTGTTTGATATTTATTATTATAAGCGTCCTCTTTCACAAACTTGGTCAAGCCTGATGGACTCGGAAACTGTAGAAACTCTTCCAAAAGAGGAACGTAAAAGACAGGAAGGAATCTATGAATTGATAACCACAGAACAAAGTTATCTCAGAGATCTTCAAATGATTGTCGCGGTTTTTTACGGTCCTCTTCAAAATTTACTTGATGCGCACGAATTAACGACGATTTTCTCAAATATCGAGGATATTCTATTATGTAACACTGCGATTTTGAGCGATTTGGAACAAAGGCAGCGAGATGAAGGATTTTTTGTGGACACTTTGGGTGATATATTAATTAAACATGTAGATAATTTGAGATGTTATATAACGTACTGTGGTAATCAATTAAATGCGAGTAAGTTTTTGCAAAAGAAAAGAGCAGAAGATCACAGACTGGAAGAGTTTCTAAAGGTAATATTCAGAAGCTTATATATTAAGGCGACAATATAGATAATTTCAAGTTTTAATAGAGATTAGAAGTCACCATTAATTTCTCTCTTTTCGATTAGAAAAGTCTACAAGATCCTCAGTGTAGGTCATTAGATTTATCAAGCTACCTTTTAAATCCATTACAACGAATTACACGATATCCTCTTTTGTTCCGCCAGGTATTCATTTGATATTTTTACCTCGACACCTTTTATAAGATAGACAATTTCATAATTTATTTTTCTTTTTAGATATTACATTATACCGAAAAAGATCATCCCGACCATGAAAAAATTATGCAATCTCTGAAAAAAGCCGAGGATATTTTGGAAAAAACGAATGAAGCAGCACGTGAGCAAGAAAATCAAGTAAAATTGGCTGAAATTTCCAGATTAGTTGATTTAGAGGGATTAGAAGCGGTAAGAAATCATTGGATAGACATTTTGGATAGACGTAAAATAAATAATATATGTATATTTTTTGTTTGAAAAGAAACTTGATTTGACTAGCATGACACGTTTACTCGGTAAAAGACAATTTGTCATGGAAGGCCCGTTGCAGAAAGTCAAAAGTAATCGAAAATTACACGGATATCTTTTCAATGATCTTTTAATTCTCGCTCAAGAGTCACGTAATTCCGTTAGAGGGTATAAATATGTTTTGTATAAGCCGGTAATTAATTCACCCATGTTTTTATCTCTAGACGTATCTAGCATCTACCATGGTTTACTAATAATTATTATTTAAATTTAGCCATTACCTCTGAATGAGATAGCTGTGTGTGATCTTCCTCAAGGTAAATTCTATTCATTATCAAACTTTATTTAGCTTGTTATTTAATAGTAAAGTCAATATGCTTATAATATTAAATTTTTGATAGATGATTGTTTTCAAATTATTCACAATGCTGATAAAGATAAAATCAACTTGCGTGCAAGGGATGTATCTGTAAAGCGGCAATGGATAAATCAGCTTGAAACAGCCAGTGGGTATTGTTCATCAATAGTGAAAAAAAATCAAAGAAAAGGCAAGCACATAATCATATATACACACAAAATTTTACGAATAGAAATATTGATTAATTTAATATTATAGATGGTCAACCACCACTCAAAGATTATATTGGCACTCTGAAAGTGGTTATATACGAGGGTAGAATGCCAATTGATCCTGGTATGTTTTGTGTTTAACCAAATAGTTTTTTATACAATGGGGGACAGTATAAGACATCCACTTTTAGATGGCATCATATCAAGTGTTATAACTTAAAAAGGAAAGAAAGATAACAATTTAACAAATGATAGCTTTTTGATTAAACTATGATTTGGTTAAAATTTTTTTAATTTTCTTTTTCTTGAAATTACAATTTTGGCGTTTACTAATAATAAGATCTACAATTCAAAATTGGCGTCATGGCGCAGTATTGGATGTCTTATACTGTCCCGCTATAGAATATTATTGATTGATTTATTTTGACATTGTTATTACAGCAAAGGAAAATATAGTAGTCAACGCGTATTGTCAAGCACGATTAAATCGACAAGTATTGAAGACTAAGTTTGTCAAAGAGAGTATATCCCCACGATGGAACCAGGTTTTTGTCAGTTCAAATTAATATCAAACCATTTTTTATTGCAGATTTGATTTCTCATTACGCTCCTCTAAATATCTTTCTTTTTAGGATTTGCCCTTTTCAGTCACGACATTGGAGGATACGCTGAAATTGTCCCTCTATAACTATGATAAATATACACAAGACTGTTAGTGGGATTTTATATATATTGTTGTTAATTTTTTTATTGTAAATTTAAATTTATAACGCGTTCGATTTATATTTACAGCATATCTAGGTCAAGCAGAGATATCACTTCGATTCCTCGAATATTATGGAAACAATGAAACAGATATGATCACACTGCAACTAAAAGATGTTCCTCCTGGACGACCACACGGTACTATTTCAATATACCTTCGTTTCAAAGCAACTTAATAATAACTATTTAATCATAATAAAAGAATTTTGTATTTATATGTATAATTTATTTCCTTGTAAAAAATTTATAAAATGTAAATTTATCAATTAATTATTAATTGTGATATTTCCTGACAAGAAAGCTATTAATTCTGGGCATTAGTAATTAATTGGCCAAATTCAAGATATTGTCTGGCCTAAATTCTTCATAATGCCATTATTACTAACTGGTGTCATTAACAGTCACACGATTTGTCACGCAGATCAGGGGTATCATACGTCACTGACCATAGTACCCCCTGACTATAATATCCCCTTGAAGAGTACCAAGTTTTTTGAATAGTGTCCGGGTACTATGATCAGTGACGTAGACTGTACCAGAATGTAGGTAACTTTTTCAGATCACGTGATTATTCGATCTGATCACCTGATTAACGAACTCACCGATCCATTCCCGGAAATGAATATATATAAAGATGAAAATTCTTTCTTATTTTAGCATAATGCAATTATGAAAATTATCATAATAATAAAGTAACAAACAAAATAATGTGAAGTAATAATGTATAGTAAAGTAACAATAAAAAATATTTGTGAACGTAATAATGAATTTTTGATAAATTAAGTTTCAATTATCAGTATCTTAAATTCTGTCATGATATCATTATGTGTGTGTGTGTTCAGAGAGTTTTTTAATAGGAATATTCAAAATTTAATAGCTCAGGAGATTTCAAATAATATAATTTGCATTTTAGTTATTTGTTCCATAAATTCTTTACAAAACTATATTCTAATAATATATTTTCTAATATCAAGTTCTAATCAATAAACATGTCAACATTATATAAATTTTACAAGCTTGAAAAAGAATTATATGCAATTGATTTCAAAAGAATTATAAATAGCACTTGAAGAATTTTTATTGAGCTCATAATTTTGTTTTATATACATTTTTTGTATTATTAGATATTGTTGTATAATGATCTTTCGTCATAATATTTTATTATTGGATTATAAATATTTCATATATTATTGGATAAAGATCATATCACGTGAAGTGAGCAAACATGCGAACAAGCGAACGAACGAATAACTAAGCGAACGAGTGAACGAACGAGCGAACGAATATTGAACCAATAGAATTTAAGTGATATAGCGTACATGAATTCGTATAATCTAGAAATTATATCTTGGATTTGTATAAAAGCAACATGTATCGTAGTTGTTAGAATTAGATATGAACAAGTTCTTTTAGATAGTAATTCCCAATT